GTCCAGTTTTCTCAGCAGCTTTTGTCAAATAATAGGTGAGCCCTTCCCCCAATAGCTGGGATTTGGGGATTTCTCAAATACTGTGCTCCTAGGTCTGTTTTCTTGTGTGTGTCTTAATCCTCATCTTACAATTGAGGAAACTGAGGTATACAGGTTAAGTGACTTGCCCAGGGTCACACAGCCAGTAAGAGACTGAGGTGGGATTTGTACTCAGGTCTTCCCAACTTCAGGCCCAGTACTGTATCCACTGTGACACTTAAATTTGCCCATGATCACACAGCTAGTATGTAACTGAACTCATGTCTTCCTGATTCCAGGTCCAGTGTTCTAACCACTGTGTTTCCCAGTTTCCTCTATAACACAGCCTTGTGTTAAAGGAAGATCAGTTTGAAAGCCAAACGTAGGATGGACTGGTGTGGAGAGAGTTTTGAGGCAGGGAGACCTGACTGCTGCTTTTCTCTTTTTCCTACCCAGAGTAATTAGGCAGAGATTTACTTACAGTGAAGTTGGACCTAAAATAAAGAGGATGACGTATGCAGTGCTTATAATAAAGGCCTAGAGTTTGTAGTTGCACTTCCACTGGGCTTCACTCAGATTGTCCTGTGAAAAAGTTTGTCAGAAAATACTTAGTGGCTGCTGTGTGTTCTTCTCATAGAAGTTCGTCAAGGAGCGGGGGCTGGTTTGGGTTTCATTGGTTTTTCATTTTATCTTTTCCCTCGGTATCTGACACAGTGCATTGCACATAGAAATTAGTTAATAAATATTTATATTGGGGGGGAAAGATGACATCATTATACAGCTTGCTCCTCAGTTTATCCTTCTGCAAAGCAGAACACTTAAGTACCTTTATAAGCCTGACTAGGAACTGTTTTGCAGATTGTGCCAAAAATAAGTGGGGTTTTTTTTACTTAATCATTTTTTCCACCTTGTATGTATAAGGCCAAATGGCTACAGTAATGCCCTGTTATGTTTATAGGCTCAGATCCATCTGCTTGGAAATGCTTTGACCTGGTCTTCAGCCAACATCGCCACTTTGGCCTATGTACTTCTGTTTTTCTGGTATCTGCTCAGACGGAGGAGAAATGTCTGTGACATCCCTGAGGGTGAGTAGAGGTTTTTTTTCCCCTCATTTATATGTTTTTTCCTTTTCATTCTAGTGAGAGTTCGGTATACCTTGAGGCTGGCAGCTGGACAGACAGCTTTGGTACGGCGGGCCTTAAGTCGGGGCTCCTTCTGGTGGTTTTTCTGTTTCTATTTTTGTTTTCCCAAAGGAGCAGTGGGAATTAATTTCCCACCCTGTGTTGCAGGCTTCTCTGTTACAGTGCAGGGTAACAGGCAGGAAGAGTTTTCTAAATACAGGCCCTTGGTGGCATTCAGCCTGAGGATCGAGCTTCCTTGGGACAGTGATTTTACATCAGTTCAAGATGGAGAAAATGGGCCCTGGCCAAACATCCCACTCCTTCTCCACGGAGAATGTGGGAAGGAAAATGAAATAAGAAATTACTTGGTGATATTTTATATTTAAGTCTAAAGAGAGTTAAACAGTTCGAGTAAGCAAGGCTAAATTTATAAAACACCCAGCAGAATCTGAATTTTCTTCTTGGTGGCACAAGTTTAAGGTGATTTTTTTCCCCCTTAATTTTCTCCCTCAGATTCCTGGTCTCTCTGGGTATTGGCTGGGACTGTGTGTTGTGGGGGCTGGGCTGTAAACTATCTCCCCTTCTTTATGATGGAGAAGACGCTGTTCCTTTACCACTACCTGCCCGCTCTCACCTTCCAGATCATCCTGCTCCCCATTGTGTTGCAGCATGTGAGTGAGCACCTCTGCAGGTATGTGGGGTCACTTGCAATTTTAAATCACATTGATCTGGGGGGACTGTAAGAATGAATGTGTTTTCCCATTCATTCAACAAGCATTTTTATTGAGCACCTGCTGTATATAAAAGGCACCATGGGAGTTATAGAGATAAATAAGACATGACTCCTGCACTCAAAGAACTTAGTCTAGCAGAAATATTCATGTCAATTCCATACTAATAACTATGATACAGTGTAGAAAAATGTGAGACGTGCAAAATAGAGCTACAAAGTGCCATAAACGTTCAGATAGGTTGAGGAGGGGAAAGAATAATTCCAAGGGGTATGAGCTATGTCATAGAAGCAGGAAAGCAAAAGGTTGGTGCAAAGAAAAGGGAGTAATCCAGTTTAGTTAGATGTGGAAGGTGTGTCTAGTAGAAGTTTAGACTTTCTTCACTGGCCATAAAAGAAATGATCAGAGCTGCCTTTCAAAAAAATAAATCTGGCATATTCTTTTCAGTGTAGATTGGAGTAGAGGGAGACTGATGGGGGGGTAATGAGTTGAGATGTGATTTAAGTAAGAGGCTAAACTAATGTGGTGGCAGTGGGAGTACAAAGGAAGATACAGACGCCAGAGATACTACAGAGTTGAGAGTGAACAATTTGGAGACAGGTCCGATGCAACATGTGAAGAATAGGAAAGAGATGGAGAGGATCCCAGAGTTTTGAGCCTGGGTGACTGGGAAATGGTAGTACTCAGTGACAGAAGTAACACAGTCAGGAGGAATGGGCTTCAGGTGCAGTTAATTACTCCCAGACAGGTGTGATGGCACACACTCAGAATCCCTGCTGCTGGAGAAACCAAGGCTGGTAGTTTGAGCTTAGAAGTTCTGAGCAGTAGTAGAACTAAAGTCCATCAGGAGTCCACACTAAGTCCAGCACCAGTATGGCGAGTAAATCAGGAGCAGGGGATGGCCAGGCTGCCTAAGGAGGGGCACCCAGCCCAAGTCAGAGACAGAACAGGCCAAAGCTATCACAACAGTCACCCGTAAGATGGAGACTGAATGGCCACCGCACTTCCAGCTGGGGTGAAATAGGGAGACCCAGATTCAAACAGCAAAAGGCAATAATTACTCTTGGGGTAGCATGGTGGAGGAAGAAAACATTACTCTTTTTGGAAAGGCAGAGAGAGGCAGTAGAAAGAAGATTAATTACATTTGGGTTTGTGTTTGTGTCCTGTCCAGTCCAGCTCTGCCACTAGTTGTGATGTCTCGGACAAGTTCCTTATCTCTGAACTTCTTTCATTTGCCCTTATCTACTTCATTGAACTGCTGAGAACATCCAGTGAGATCTGCTATGCAGCAATGCTTTGGAAGCTGTAAAGTAACTGTATAAATGTTTACTGATTTTATATATGTATACATACATTCTTAATCTCTCACGTATGTTTATCTTCTGATCCCACAGATCCCAGCTTCAGAAGAACATATTCAACTCCTTAATTGTGGTATGGTTTTCCTCTGTGTATATGGTTTATCACACTTTCAGCCCAATAACCTATGGAGATCAATCTCTCTCAACAAATGAACTCAAGGCCCTTCGATGGAAATCCAGCTGGGATATCCTGATCAGAAAACACTAATGGAAAAAGAATGAACTAGTGAAAATCTGAGATGGGGGCTGGATAAGGCAGAACAGACCTTGTTGGTTTCTTTCTTGCATTTGTTTGTTAATGAGCAGAGCGACTCTGGGATTGACGGAATGACTTAACACAAGAACTGATGAGTGTCTGGCCTTTACAGAAAGAGGTAACTGAAAACTTCATCTTGTTTGTTTCCTTTCACCAGTGAGAAGGCTGTTTAAAAGATAAACTGCATTTTGAGTAAGGACAAGTCTTCTCCTAGAAACTAGAGGGCAGACTATTTCTACTGACTTGAGCAGACCTTAACTGAACAAAACTCCCTGTCATTTAACTGATTAGTGTAGTCACGCCCCACAGCCTGATAGAGACAAAAAGAAATTATATAAGCCAAAAGAACTTGGGAGTCCATGATGAAACTACAATTCAGCTTTTTAACTAGGAAGTTGCTGGTAGTCCTAATAGCTCTTATCCTTAGTTCCTCCTTTGGCTAGACTCATGCTGCCACAAATACTTCCTAAACCTACTGTATCAGAGCACAGCTGAGTATTCGGCTTTGGTGAGATGTCACAGAAGCCATTCTGTATGATGGGAAGGTGAGTTACTTTGGTCATCAGCCTCTTTTGAGGCTTTATTTAAGTTTTCTGACTACAAGATGAAGAAGCCTACTGCGTCCTAGTGTCTTATTGCTATGGTATTTTTTTTTAATCTTCTTTATGAGCTATTGTTCTGGGGTGGCTTTATGTTAAATGAACATGGTCCCTAACTCAAAGGTAGCAGTCATCTCTGTAATTCCTCTTTCTGAAATTTGATTTATGTTTACATACATAAAAATAATTTTAAGGAGACAAATGAACACTACTGTTTGGTGTTTATTAGTCCCAAAACAGTACATTAAGCATGACAGAGATTTTAGGTAATTACAGTTTAGAACACCAAAGGACTTGAAACAAAGTTCCCTGTCTTATGTATCTCATAATAGCTACGATGATTTATGCCTGATAGAAGAAAACCATAAGTGGCTATACATGAGGAGATTGATTATAAAACAACTTTTATATATGTATATATATATAATGTACATATATATTATATGGAGGGAATTGAACACTGGTTAGGAGGAAAGATTAAATAGAACCATATAGACCAAAACATTCTCATAGACGCAATTCAGTGCTAGGCCATATATGATAAGTAGTACAGCAACTGGAGGGTTGATTTGTGCAACAACATTCATTTTGAACCCCTAGATTCCACTGTGTAACTTAGCTCTAAGGAAAGCATGCACCTGACATGGCAATGAGTAATAATGTGAACGGTTTGGTGGTAGGCAGCATGTGTCCTAGATCCCAGGACAGGTAAGCCCTGACTTGGCAATTTCCAGGGATAGATGAACAGGGTTAACAGCCTCGGGTGGAGCTGGTTGCTTGGGCATTGGATAGCTACATTCGAGTCAACACCACAAACACCAGAACTATTTGGTTGACTTCTATAGTGGCAACACTCAATTCTGCAAGTCTTTTATGTCCTCAAGTAAACACATTCAAAACAGGAGTCACTGTCCTTCGCATTGAATAGTAGTTTTTTTGTGTTTTTCTTTTTTAAAGTGCTTATCAGCATTCCCACCTCTGCTTATTTGCCCTGTGTATAACCCAGAAGGAAAGAAGACATTTCTACATGGCTCATGTTAAGGTCGTACCAGTGACACAGCCAGGACCCAGCCCCCCAATTTTTTTTAAAAATGTGCTACTAGCATTACTTCTGGGAGCAAGCATAGCAGGTTCACTCATGCAGGTGTTGGGCGTTTTTCAGGTGGCCCAAAGAGATTTCAGAAGCCTCCTGAATACACGGAAGATTAAAACATTAAGAATGTCCTTTTAGTATTTCTCAACTTTTAAGACTGAATAAAATTAACATTTTTCTATTCTTAAAGGATTGAACAATTTCATCTTAGAATAATTTTGTAACAGGTGCTAAAAGAATATTTCTAAAGGGCTTAGAGTTTTTGTTAGGGGAAAAAAAAAAACCAAAGGAACTCCAGACCCATTCATCATACAAATGTCATCCAGGAAAGATCTGCCTTATTGGCTGATTACCAGCCTCCTGCTCCTCAGTGGGGTCTGCTGCTAGACTCCAGGTGGGACCGTTTACCAGAAGTTAGGACAACAGGAGGGTCTCCAGGCTCTGGAAACGTCCTCTTGTAGCTCCGCCCATTTGGAACTCCCCGCTGCCATTTGCAGATGTCCCCATTCAAAATGTCCTGAATATGCTGTACAATCAGGTTGATGGCAACTGCAGAAGATAAGAGTGGCTCTAATTCTTCAGTGACAGCAATCAATGACATTTATTGTCTGCTATGTGCCAGGCACAGTGCTAAATGCTAGGGATACAAAGAAGCAAAAAAAAGCCCTGCCCTCAAGGAACTTGCAGTCTAATGAGGGAGATCTGCAAACAGGTATATGCAAACAAGCTTTATACAGGATAAATAGGAAATGATTAACAGAGCACTAGAATTAAGAGAAGTTGGGAAAGGCTTCCTGTAAAAGATGGGATTTTAGTTGGGACTTCAATAGGAAGCCAGAGGGGTCAGTAGAGATGAGGGGAGAACATTCTGGGCACGGGGAATAGCTAGAGAAAAATGCCCAGAACTGAGAAATGCAGTGTCACTGTCGCTGAATTGAAGAGTACGTGGCTGGGGAGTAAGGTGTAAGAAGACTGGAAAGGTAGGAGGGGGCTAGGTTAGGAAGGGCTTTGAATGACAAACAGCATTTTATATTTGCTTCTGGAAGTAGTAGGGAGCCAGTGGAGTTTAATGAATGGATAGAGGGTGGTGGTGGTGACTTAATCAGGCCTGTGTCTTAGGAAAATAACTTTAGTGGCTGAATGGAGGATGGATTAGAGTGATGATTCAGGCAGACCCACCAGCAGGCTATAGCTAGGTAAGGAGAACCAGGAGAGAGAGTGGTGTGCTGAAAATTTAGAGGAGAGTATCAAGGAGGAGAGAGTGATCAACAGTGTCAAAGCCCAAACAGAGGTCAAGGGGAGGAGAAAAGGCCCCAAGATCTGGCAGCTAAGAGATCACTAGTGACTTCGGAGTTAACAGTTTTAGTGGAATGATAAGGTTGGAAGTCAGATTGTAAGGAGGGGTTAAGAAGAGAGAGGAGAGAAAGTGGAGGCACCTATTTAGGGGGCCTTTTTGAGGACTTGAGCTACAAAGGGCAGAGGAGATAGAAGATGACAGCAGGGATGAAAGGATCAAGTGAGGGTTTTTTCAGAATGGAGGCGATATGAGCATGTTTACAGGGAGTAGGAAATGAGCCAACGGAGAGGGAGAGAAGATTGAAAATAAGTAAGAGTTGGGGTGAAAAGAGAGGAGATAGGATGGAATGGGATGGCTTGAACAAGCAGAGGGGTTAGCCTTGGTAAGGAGTAAGGCCACTTTATCATGTGAGACAGGTGAAGGCTTATGAGTAACATGAGATGAGGAAGCTCACAGCCTCGTTTTTTTCTGTAAAATATGAGGCAGGGTTCTCACAGATGAATAGGTTTGGAAAAGCCACTGTGAACAGTGGAATAATGAGTTGATAAGGCAAGTGTGGAAGGATTGCCTAGCAGCACTGAGGGCCCAGTCGAGGTTTTATAACAAACATTTCTATGTAGTGGACATAGAAGAGTTGCATGATTTTCTCCACCTTTGTTCAGCAGCACATCTATAGGAGTGGAGACAACAAATGGTGGTAGTTGTCCAAGGCTAAGGTTTGGCTGGGTGTAATCAGTGATATGAGAGGGCTAGGGATTCAGCAGAGGAGGACGATGTAGAACTGTATTGGCTCTGTGCAAAAAAGAGGAGAGAGTGGCTAGTGCAGGGGCAATAGCTTGGGAATTGAGGGGTCAAGGGACTAGAGATCATGGTACAGACCAGAAGTAGAACCTATAAGGAAGGCAGAGGTGAAAAGCCAAGAAATTATGGTTAGATAAGAGGATTTGGGAATTCTTAAACATGGAGGTGGTACATTTGTGGGTCACAGAAACATCAAGGGTCTGACCATCTCTGTATATCTTAGGTGGAGTAGAAGAGAAGCTCAAGGGAAGTGAGCAGTTAGGGTATTTGAAGGAGAATCAGGATATGTGCTGAAGTCCCGTAGTATGAGGGCAAGAGTTGGGGGGGGGGAATTGTGAGTCACTTGTGGGACTTGTTGAGGAATGAAAAGGAGTAACCTGGAGTCTGTAGACAACAGCTACCAAGATTTTGATTGGGTTACTGGTAGACAGGAATAGCATGAACCTCAAAGGAAGAGAGTTAATGAGCGACTCAAGTAGGGGGAGAACCAGGACATCGAAATGAGAAGCAAAAATCATTCTAATTCCCTCACCTTGATTTTTATCTCATTGAACTTAATCCTACCCAATGGTTGTCCTAGGAAACTGCTGCCTGCTTCAGTTTTATAACCAATAATTACTCATTGAAACATAGCTCTTTTCACTCAAAGGCAATGGACCGCTGTCAAACCCCAGCAGGTAAAAACAATGGGAATCAATAAGGAGTGCTTTAAAATCTACACACTTGACACTTTTAAGTTAATATCTGTAAGGAAATCTAGTTAAAATACTCTGGTAGTAAGTAATAACTTCTTTCCAATTTTTAAGTTTTAAAATGTAATTTTAAAGTAGATACAAAACTGGTAAGAAGATACAACAAAGGTGGTGGGCAAGCCTTCAGGCTCTTGAATGTGGGGGGGTTTGCATCAAACTACATTTAAGAATTGTGGCCAAAATGCATCTCGAAGATAGAAATTGCAGGCACTCAGAGGAATAAGTGAGGTCAGATGTTTTTCTTACCCATGTTGTCAACTCCTCGAGGGATGATTACATCAGCATACTTCTTAGTCTGCAAGACAAAATGACAGTTTTCTTAAGCAGATTTTTCTAGAATGATTGCATTTTTCAATGGAATTCACCCTATTTTGAACTTGAGGTGTTGGGGGGGCACACAGAGGGAGGGATTGGAGATGTGTCTCAATGGCCTCAAGAATGGATAGGGTGATTTGTGTGAGTTGCCTATCACTCTACCAGACAGAATGAGCCAAGTTGAACAGGTGTAGGAAGCCAAGAGAAAACAACCTTGTTCACCAATGACTTTCTATCATTTTCGCTGCCCCTGATGTTTCTTGTGAAAAATAACCTGTGTGGCTCATCTCTCTGTGCTACAGACCCAGCTTCAAGCAAAGGTGAACCAAGTAAGATAGAAAGGCTGCAGATTCACCTCCTAGCAATCCATGACATTTCTTCCACTCTGATCCACCTAATCACCTCTGACCCTACAAGGAGCTGGGAAGCAAATGTAAATAAATACTCAAGCGTGGACACAGAGAAGTGAGCTTTACTACTGGACGAAGTTTCATAGCATTGTGAGCAGCACATGGTATGACAGCTGCTTCTGGCTCATACAGCCTGGCCAGTCCTGGCCAATTAAATCCTTAATATTAATGAGCTGAATTCTTAAATATGTTTGTGTTTAGGAAAGTCTGGAATTGCCCAGTTATTGATGCAAAATTAATTTCTGGAAATGGAGAATCATAAGCATAGGATTACATGGGACTATACATTTTTAAAGCTCTGAAACCCTGGGCAAATCCGTTTAACCTCTTAGGGCCCTCAAGAAATTCTTTAACACTTATTTGTAGAACTTGTGACCATATGCATTGGAGGGGGTATTTCCTTACTGGTAGTTCTCTATGCTGATAAAATCATACATCTGGAGGGAAAAAAAGTTTTCCAACATAAATCCATGTTCTCAGTGTTTCTAAATTAGTGAGGAGTGCTAGCAGTCGTGTTAATTTTGAAATTTTAAAAGTTTACTAAGAAGCTGGTCCCTTAAATATTCAAAGTAGTTGGGCACCTCAGAGGCTTGGCCAAAATCAGTATGGAGAAAGAAAGGAATTATTTAGGGGACTCGATAGGCCAGGTGTAGGCAAACTTTTTTAGACCAACTAAACTCTTCCCTCCATATAAATGCCTCTCTACATATAAAGTACACATAAATCCTTCCTGGCACACAAATTTCTCCATATATAAATTCTTCCCTACATATAAATTCTTCCTAACATGTAAATTACATACAAATCGTTCTTTACATATAAACTAGGTTTCATCTAAGACTCAACATCCTACTGAAACTGGACAACACACAACCTTTTGAAGGGAATTACTGAATCTATAATGCAAAAGTCACTTAAAAAACTTTTAACAAACAAATTCAAAGGTGGTACCGGCAGGCAGAATTCCTCAAAGGCAGGTTTAACAAAGGTGGTGTACTGTGTTAGGATCTGCTCCAAGTCCCTCCCACGATTCATGTCTCGGAGAACTGAAATAGTAACAAGTCAATCCTTAGACCATCATGTGTGTAACTGTCTAAGGTCAGAGTTCAAGAACTCCAGCATCCTCCTTACCTCTACGAGATAGCCTCACATCTGAGTCGGTGTCCACAAAGAGTCGAAGATGAAACATGTCCCGGATCTCTTGACTATAGAATACCAAAATGCCCTCAAACAGAACCACATCCGCAGGGTAAACCACAGTTGTCTCCAGTAACCTGCGAGGCAGAGGCGAGGAAATGGGACACTGCAGGAGAGAGAGGGTCACCGGGGCAGTCTGCACAACCAGCTTCGTTCCTGGGGGCACTGAATCCTTGGAAGGGGCAGATCACGAAGAATCCACAGAAACCGACTGGGGGCAGGGCCTGCTGCAGGGAAGTCCTTGCTGTAAGCACCTGAGAGGAAGATCTAACGGGCTTGAAGTGCACAGCCCTTCCTCTGCCCTCCCAGAAACCATCTGCTTACCTTGAGTGGGTCACAAAATCATAGGTCGGGACCTCAACGGTTTTGCCATCCACAATGTGTTTCAGGGTCATGTGCATCAAATCATTATCAAAAGCATCTGCAGAGATGGAACAAAAGGCAAGACCATCCCAAGCTATTCTTATGTAGGCTTGTAAATAAAGATAGAGTCTGTTGCCATGGGTATGGCCTATAGCTAGCTGGGGGCAATTTTTAAAAAATCAACAGTAGTACTTACAGGACATCAAACATTGTACAGAGTGGATGAAATATAATTAATATCTAGCGGGTATACAACGTTTTAAAATTCTGCACACCACAAGAAGAACACATTCATAAAGATAACTATCTGGCAATAACTGGTATCTGTACTGTTATCTCCACCAGGAAGTTGGTCCTCCATAAGAAAGGTACATATGAAGGGCCTACTATAAGCAAGGCAGTGATCTGGCATTCTCAAAGTTCTTTCTAGGAGGTAAGCAAGGGCCAGGCTCTGTGTTTCTAGGACAAGTCATTTTAAAAACAAGTTTATACTAGGGCAATGTTTCTTTTTGTAGAGAAGGACTGAGGAAGATGGGGCAGCCATAACGACTAGAACATTAGGCCTCTTTCTGTTTAGCTGGCTTTTGGTTCCCACCCAGGAGCTGGTACCTCTGGGCTCCTAACTGGCTACTGTTGACACATCAACTCCTGCAGCTGCCTTTATATTGGCTACTACAAGTCTCTGAGATCTCGACTGTTAGGACTAGTAACTGTCCTTCAGGGGAATGAAGGGGAAGTTGTAAAGAACCTATTTTTGTACAATGGGTCTTTGGAAACATCCTGACCAAGAAAGACCCACATGACAGTGGTGGCAGTGCAGGGATCCTGCTAGTTGCTCTGCTGAAGGCCTGGAGGAGCTGGTGTCCTCATGGAAGAAGCCTTTCTGATTGGCTTCAATTAAGAGTCCACCCTCCCCCTCGGGGATAGCTCTGAAAAGGGCTTCTGTCTAACAGCAACCCACTTTGTAGTAGGGGTAGAGGTTTAGTTCACAGAATCACCTCAGTCTCCCCAGGACCGTTCCAGACCAAAGCAAAGAGGAAGAAATAAGGAGGGGGGAGGAGAGAGGGGCGGGGAGGGAAAAGGGGAAAGGAAGAAAGACTGGAAGAACAATCACTGGAGGTAGATTCAAAGACCTGGGTTTGAGTCCTGACTCTGCCACTTACTAGCCATGTAACTGAGCAAGTCAAGCTCTCTGAGCCTCAGATTCCTCATCTTGTCAAATGGGGATAATATTTACACTACCTACCTCACGGGCTGGTTGTAAGGAGGTGCTCTGTAAATTCAAGAGTCTGTGCCGTGAATCGTTATTGCAGTTGTTTTTGTGACACCCCATCCTTTCTCTCCGTTTCCCTCTCCCTCCCCGCCGCGCCCCGCCCCCCGGGTTTCCAGATCTACCTGGGTGGTCAAAGTTGTACTGGCCCTTCAGCGCTTTGGCCTTCTGCTCGGCGGTCAGGACCTTATAGAACCTGTCCTGGCTCAGGATGACCAGCTTGCGCTGGCGGTGGTCCACTTCATGCTGGCCCAGCAGTTCCATAATCTTCTCACACACTGTGGACTGGGGGGAAAGCCGGGAGGACCCCCGCCTCAAGCCCCTCTGAAGGGGACGGCCGAGGCCTGTCCCAGCCTCCCGGCAGGGCCCGACACCCGGAGCCCAGTCTGGCAGGCTACAGGTGGGGGGAGGGGCGGGAGCGTCCTACAGAGCCCCACCTTCCTGCGGGGGTCCTGGGGGCGGGCTCGAGCAGTACCCCCCCCCGGACCCAGCCGCTGCCCCCGCTCCCTGGCCCGCCCCCGGGCCGGGTCCCCAGGTCACCCCTCGGATCGTGCCTCCAGCCCCGCGGGCCCCGGACGGGCTCCGCTGCGGGGCGCGGGACCGGCTCCTCGCCTCCTGAGAGGGGCTCCCTTCTCCCCCTCCAATGCAAGACCCCCACTCCGAGCTCTCACCTTTCCACTGGCTGTGCCGCCGCTCACCCCGATCAGGAAAGGCCGCTGGTGAGGGCGCTCCGGCTCCGCAGCGGCCACCCCGCTGCCGCCGCCGCCGCCGCTAGCCGAGGCCATGGTCAGTTCGGCTTCCCTGCATCGGCTTCCCCCCCTCGCCCCCAGCTCTAGCTGGCTCGACCGCCCTCAGAACAGAGGTCAGAGGCAGCCGCCGAGACTACAACTCCCAGCGGACACCACGCGTAGGTTCTAGTTGCTAAGGGGTCCCCACGGCGCCGCGGAGCGACGCGGGAGTTGTAGTCGCCTACGACCCGAGGGGAGAGCGCATGCTCGAGGTTACTAAATGTCCCTTTAGCTAGCCGTCAGTCTCTCTTGCGGAGCGGGCAGGCCCATAGAAGAGTTACCTCCACTCCTTCCCTGACTTGGAAGACAACTCTTGGAAGAGAACAATCCTGTTTACCCTCCCGTACCCTAAATATTGGCGTTAAGAAAGCACTGGCCTCAGGAGGTCCTCCCCACCTGGGCTGCTGTCCCAAGATGCCGGTTCTGCCCGTAGCGTTGCTAAGAAACTTAGCATCGGGGAGATTACAGCATGCTCGGGGAATGGGGAGCCAGTGAGTGTCAACAGAACCGCTCCCTGGTGTGTGGTGGATACACCGAGACAAACCTCTCCCCTTTCATCCCAGACCATGCCTTGCCCGGTGCTTCGCCGTGGACAGATAAATTAAAACAGCAATTACCAATCGCTGCCTTCAAAGAGCTCTTCGGCTTAATTGGGGTAGAGCATGTACACAAATAAGCGAGATCTGAAGAGCCGACCCCAGGTCCGGAAGAGCAGCATTCAAGGGCCTCATTACTGGCCAAGTCCTGGGACTTCTTCATCCTCAGGCAAATTCTCTGAAGTTTCTTCGAAGGCTGTTCCCTCTCAAAAACGCCAGTGGATTTGGGAAGTCCGTGATTCAGGAGTTCCCTCTAGTGAATGTCTCCCATCTGCCCATCCTGTGGGACTCCGGTCCTCCCAAAAGTTAGCCCTGGGGCAGTTAGGTGGTGCAGGGGGACGGAGCGCCGAACCTGGAGTCACTAGGACCTAAGTTCAAATTTCACATCAAACACTGGCCGTGACCCTAGGCAAGTCACTTAACCCCTATTGCCTCCAAAAAAAAATTCACCCTACCTGGCTCCTCCAATGGCCTTCTTTGATTTCTCTCTCCCTCCCCCTTCCCCTCTCCACTTCCCATTTCCATCCCTAATCAAGAGGGAGGGTTATCATGGAGCCATCTACGATGATGTCCTTTGCTAACGTTCTTTGCTCTCCTTCTCCTGCAAATCTGCATTGGTTATGTTCTGTGGCCTGTTCACTTTTCCATTGCCTCCTGTGTGATCCTCATATCTAGTTAGCATTTAGAAGTGGATGCGGTATAGGACTTGGAGTCATAATAGACCTGAGTTCAAATCCAGCCTCAGACCCTTATAGCTATGTGACCCTGGGTAAGTCACTTACCCTCTTTTGGCCTCAGTTTTCTCATCTGCAAAATGGGGATAATAAAGGAAGCGATAATCTTTGGAAAATGCTTTGTACTGGATGAATTCTAAGTAGTAGAGGAGATGGAATAAGCATTTACATAGCACCTACTTTGTGCTGGACACTGTGCTGATCACTCTTTACAAATATTCTCTCATTTGAGTCTCATAACAACCCTGAAAGGGAGGTGCTCATTTTATCATTAATTGACCCCATTTTACAAATGAGGAAACTGAGGCAGACAGCGATTATGTGACTTGCTTGGGGTTACACAACTAATATGAATCTCAAGCCAGACTTGAACTTGGGTTTTCCTGACTCCAGGACCAATGCCCTATCCAATGTGCCACCAGCTATGTAGCAGTCCTTGTTTAGTAGGTGGGTGGGTGGGGTAGGAAGGGAAGAGGAGGCAGAGGCATCTAGGAAGTACAGCAGATTGAGCGCTGGGCCTCAGACACTTACTGGTTGTGTGACCCTGGGCAAGTCACTTAACCCTATTTGCCTCAGTTTCCTCATCTGTAAAATGAACTGGAGAAAGAAACAGCAAACCGCTCCAATATCTTCGCCAAAAACAAAAAAAAACCCAAAACCAAATGGGGTCACAAAGAGTCAAAAACAACTGAACAACAATAGCAACAGTAGTAGTGCTAACAGTAGTAGTACTGCTTCCACGCAGTAAGAGTTTATATTAAAGAGATGGGCTTTTGCTGTTTGGGAAGCTTGGGGTCAATAAACAGGCTTTGCAGTTTCCAAAAACATTCAACCTCCTTTTGTCCTCCTCTCCAACTGTAAGCCTAGCTCATCGTCCAGCTTCATTATCTGTCCCAGATATACAGACTATAGACAAGCTCTGCTGCCTATCTGAATATTCAGACACTCCTTGAAGTCCCAGCAATAGACAGTCTTCATCCATTTGGTGTTTCCTGTGTGGATGGAAAGGCCAGATCCCTTTGAGTGATTACAGGTCTCTTCCAGGAATCTCTGCAGCATCTTGGGGTTTGATTCAATGAATGTAAGGGCATTCAAGCAGAGGCATCTGGAGGACATCATCATCTCTGGGAATCCTGCCTTGATCTGAACTCTTCACTGGATCTCCTCCGTCACAATGGTGAATCCTTTTGGCAGGCATATAGCTCCTTGTTTTATGCTTCACCTGGTGTTTGTTACTGGTGTAGACTCTACACCAATAGTTCTCTCTACGAGGTAGAGTGACCAATGAAATCACAGGCCTTAAACAAAAAAAGCGGGGGAGAGGTAGGATACAGATAAAATGTGATTGGGGCAAAGGAGAGATGCAGTTTCAAGGCTTCACTTGAAATTAGTGAATGTCCTTTAAGAAAGTACTAGGAAAAATGTCACGAATAGACAAAATACTTTAGAAAAAAAAATGTGTGGTTCATACAAAGTAAAACTGGAAGAGACCACAAAGATTATCTTGTTCACTCACCTCACTTTACAGATGAAAAACTGAGGCCCAGAGTGAGGAAGTAATAATAATAGCTAGCATTTTTAGGGCACCACAAGGCTTGCAAACCATTTTACATATGTGAACTCATTCAATCCTCACACAGCCCTGTGAGGTAGTTGCTATCATTACCTCCACTTTACTGATGACGAAGATGAGGCACTGGGAGGTGAACTGACTAGCCCAGGATCACACCACTAGGGAGTATCTGAGGCAGAATTTGAACTCATTTCTTCCTAAGTCCAAATCCAGTATTTTATCTGTTGTGTCACCCATTCGCTCAAAGCTCCACAGGTAGCGAGTGTCAAAGTCAGGTATAAATTCAGGGCTTGTTCTATGGGGTCATTTTCGACTGGGGGGATCAAGGAAACCTTTCAGGAAGAGACGGCTCCTGAGCCAGCCTTAAAGGAAGAAAGAATCTCACCGGCTTGAGAGGTGAAGGAGAAATAGCCTGAGTGAATGAATGCATCAAAGGTCAGATCCCTGAACAATGACTAGTGCAATTTGGCTGGAACTTAGAGGCTGTGAAAAGGAATGATGTGAAATAAGGCTGGAAACGCTGAGGTCCAGAGGCACATCAAAATGTTGGGGTGCAAGGTTGTCTCAAAAGAATTCTCTCAGGCTGTCTCCAAATCAAGTAAAGGCATTTATTCTAGGTAACACAACACACCAAGTAGGTTCCTTCACCCCTTATGGGTGACACAGCTCAAGGGGGACCCCAGCTTAAGAGAGAGAGCCCCACCCCCCAAGAGAGATGGCCAATTCAGGGAGATGGCTCCTTAAGGGAGATGCCCCCAATTAAAGGAGGTGCCCACTAAACAAGAGAGGCTAGGGATTCTTTGCAGTGCTTTTATTTTTTTAGGCAATTGGGGTTAAGTGACTTGCCCAAGGTCACACAGCTAGTGAGTGTGTCAAGTGTTTGGTCTGAGGGTAGATTTGAATTCAGGTCTTCCTGACTGTAGGGCCGGTGCTCTATGCACTGTGCCACTTAGCTGCCCCGGCTGGGGATTCTCATAGGGGAAAACCTGCCATGGGCAGGAAGATGAGGTAATCAGGGACCCAAAAGTCCAGGGGGTGGGGAGATGAGGTAACTAGGGACAATAGTTCAAAGTTTCATACATAATCTAGGCACTTCATTATTCTGTTGTCCAGCCCTGGGTGGAGGGGCAGAGGGGCCAGGTTAGTGAGTTTCAGAATTTCATTGACCAGCCTACTTGAATCTCCTTGTCTCCTCCAGTACTGGAGATACTGGGCTTCTCATTGACCAGTCCATTTGAATCATCTGCCCCTCAAGAAGTAAACACCCGAAAAAAAATTTAAAAAAAAAGAAAAAAAGAAGTAAACACCCAAAAAAATTTTAAAAAAAGAAGTAAACACCCCCAAAAAATTTAAAAAAAGTAAACACCCCCAAAAAATTTTAAAAAAAAAAGTAAACACCCAAATTCATTTGGGGAAAAGGGTGAGGGTCATGCATTCCTCATCAGAAAGATGTATTGAGGAGGACGTTAACTTGAAAAGCTGACAAGTTTCTGCTTTACCCTATGAGCCACAGGGCACCAGTGAAAACTTTTGAGCAGGATAGTGACTCTGTCAGACCTGTGCATTATTTAGCATTCACTATATGCTAAGCCCTGTGGTAGGTATCTAGAGCAGATACCTTTATAATTAAGATTATGGCCCTTTTCTATTCTCTGTTCTTGACAATGAAGATCTAAAATGCCCTACAGCCAGCTGAGTATTTTTTTTTCTTATTCTGATTCTTCATTAGTCACGAGATTATAGTTTTAGAGCTGGAAGGGACCTCAGAGGCCATCTAGTGCAACCCCATCATTGTACAGATAAAGAAACAGGCCTAGTCACTTGTCCATGGTCATGTAGGTAGTAGTTGTCAAGTGCAAGATTTGAATTCAAAGCCTCTGACTACTAAACCAGTGCTCTTTCTATTGCACCTCACTGTCTTTTCTACCATCCCCACCCTCTCCTGCTTTGGGACTCATGAAGATCATATTTGTTGTTGATCAGTTGTTTTTAGTTGTGTCTGACTCTTCGTGACCCCTTTTGGGTTTTCTTGACAAAGATACTGAAGAGATTTGCCACTTCCTTCTCCAGCTCATTTTAAGATGAAGAAACTGAGGCAAACAGGGTTAAGTGCTCAGGGTCACATAGCTAGTAAGTGTCTGAGGCCAGATTTGAACTCAGGAAAAGGAGTCTTCCTGACTTCAGCACTCTATCCACTGCAGCACCT